TCCAGACAGTTTCTTCTTGGTACCTTACCCTCCAATCTGAAATACCTAAATCAGGTTTACCTTCAAGGCTGGCTTTATGGAGGGTATAGTTTCATTCATATCTCCCAAACCATCTCCCCAGCTCCAGGATATCTGAATCCCTTTAACAGAGAACAAAGACTTTTATTTCACAATTAGAGATAAGAGTCCTAGGATTTAAATGTCTGCTTGATGTAAGACCAAAAATAAAACTAATAAGCACTACCCTGTAGTCAAGCAGCCATCAAGAAAAAAGGAAATTGATCACTATCAAAGGCATTCACAGTCTATGGTAAAGTAAAAAAGTTTAAGAAATGAATAGGTAGATCATATGGTAATTTTGTTTTTTATTAAAGTATAGTTGTATACAATATTATATGTTTCAGGTGTACAACATAGTGATTCTACATCTATATACCTTACAATGTGATCACCATAATATGTCTAGTAACCATCTGTCACCATATAAAGTTATTATATTATTGACTATATTCCCTGGCTGTATACATTATTTTGTAACCAGAAGTTAATATCTCTTACTTCCTTTCACCTTTTTCACCCATACCCCTATGCCTCTCTTCTGGCCACTATAGTTTGTCCACTTCTGGGTATATACCCCAAGAAATTTAAAACAAGGTCTTGAAATGATATTTGGACACCTATGTTCATAGCAGCATTATTCACAATGGTTAAAATGTGGAAGCAACCAAAGTGCCTATCAATGGATAGTAATTGTAGTATGGACGTACAATGGAATATTATTCAGCCTTGAAAAAGTGGGGAATTCTGCAATATGCTACAACATGAGTGAACCTAAGGACATTATGCAAAGTGAAATAAGCCATTTACAAAAAGAAAAATATGATTCCACTTATATGAGGTACTTAATGTAGTAAAAATCATAGAAACAGACTGAGAAGTGGGAAGAGAGAATGAGAAGTTATTGTTTAATAGGTATAGAAGTTTTTTTAACAGGATATAAACGTGGTGATATAAAGGTGGTTGCACAACAATGTGAATGCATTTAATATCACTGAACCATACACTTAAAAATGGTTAAGACAATAAATTTTATGTGTGTTTTACCACAGTGAAAATACAAAAGCAAAAACACACAACAACAAACATGCCCAGCACCATATCTGAGACATGGAATATAATAAATATCCATTCTATCCCTCTCCCCCAAAAAAATAAAAAGAGAGAAAAATAGGTAGTCTCCTGAAAGAGTGCAGGTGCTGGGGGAACAGTTAACAGACGGGAGAGTAAAGGTGGCTGAAGTAACTGCAAGTAAGTCCACAGCTCCTGTCCAGGGCCAGTGAATCGAACTTGTTTTGGGTTAAAGCCTTATCTCAGCTGATTTAAATAACCAGCCCCACCTAGCTGAATCTGAAATGTGACTAATTTCTATGCCTGACTACCTTATGTATGGCAAGTGGGAATCTTTTGTAGAACAGATAAATGCCTTGTCCCAGTGTTCTCTAGGAGCAGAAGAAGTTCTAAGTTTATATATATATATAAACTAAGTTTATATATATATATGGAGAGAGAGAGAATTACAATATGCACAATGGCTGGACTTCTTCTGGACACACCATTTTATATATAAAAAAATACATATATTTTTATATATATATAAAATGGTGTGTTATATATAAAAATATATATAAAATGGTATGTCCAGAAGTCCAGCCATCGTTAATATAATGAGAAACTTTGTGTGACATTGATGTAACCTGGAAGCCAAGAAGAGTGGACTGGAATGTGCATGTGTGAACAATGACAACTTCACTTTACTAGTCAGTGGGGAGCGCAGTCACCATTGAGTGAGCATGTGTAGTGGGTACCCACTGTATTCAAAATGACTGAGTGAGCAGGGCAATGAATCTGCATCAAATTTTGCATTAAGCTTGAATATTCCTCCATGGAAACTATTCAGATGATTTCAGAAGGCTGCAGCTATGGGCAACTAGTGACTGACAGCTTCATCACAATAATGCTCCCACTCATGTATCATGTCTCACGCAGAGATGTTGGTGAAACATCAAATCACCTAGGTGACTCAGCCCCTCTACAGCCTAGCTTTTGTGCCCTTCATCTTCTGGCTTTTCCCAAAACTAAAATCACCTTTGAAAGGGAGGAGATTTCAAAACATCAGTGAGATTCAGGAAAATATGAAGGGGGAAGCTGATGGCAATTGTGACAACTGTGTGAGGTCCCAAGGTGCCTACTTTGAAGGGGACTGAGACATCCTTTTCCTATGTACAATGCTTCTTGTATCTTCTTCAATAAATGCCTCTATTTTTCATATTACATGGCTGGATACCTTCTGGATAGAACTTGATATGATACAACCTCAAAGCATTGGCCTAAGTAGCATGACACTTACCTGACTAACAGCATCTGAGGGGTTTTACTAAGGTACCTCCAGTCCCCTTTCTACAATCTGGTTATCTGTTCACCAACCATTTTTATCCCTATTTCAATAGGCATAGTACCTATCCTAGTCTCTAATGAGTCACCCCAGAATCTTGGATGTGACTAAGTAAAAGTCACCAATTGTAAGTATTGCTAAAATAGTAAAAGCAAGTGCTAAGTATAAACACAAACTGGCTCAATCCTTGCAATAACTCCACAACTATTATCCACAACTGCATTTACAGATGAGAAAATTAAGGCAAAGAAAGATTGAGGAACTTGCCAAAGATCACATGATAAGAAATGGCGGGGTCAGGATGGGAATGGAGAATTCTGACTCCAGAGACTTGCTCTTAACCACAGTTTCACACCAAAATCATTCTGTTCAGGCAACTGGAACTCACTTGGATAATTTCTTATAAAACACAAGGAGGACTCATTCAGTCATTGCAATTGGAAACCGTGACAGAACCTGCATGGAGGAATTGTTTGTGCTATCTTACTAATCACCACCATCTTAATGATCACCACATCACGGATGTGAGCCAAGCCTTTCTCTCTACAAAGCTCAAAAACTAGGTTTTATAACAATGCTTCACAAAGGGAGACAAAAAGGTCATTTAGCACTGCCACTGGGAAACTTACCGACAGTTTGATTTCTTCTTGGAACCATTTTCTCACTAGGTAGAAATATTTTCAATAAATCATTGATTGTACTCTCAATTTGCTCGCTTCTCATGGAGAGAAGAGTCTAAGTAATATGTATTATAAGCAAGATGAAATGATCTCAAATAGCATTTTGTAGTTCCAAAATATAAAAATTACCTCTGGAGGATTGTATTTTCTGCACATGCTGAGCAATAGGAGGTAACTAAGAATCATGGGAAATAAGAAGACAGGATTCAATTCATTTAGTTTCAAACAACTAAAGCTCTGCTCACATATTATTGGTAATTGCTGTTGGGTAATACAACTCCCCTTATGAATTAAAGAAAATTTATTTTACTTTCTGTCTAAAAGGATTAATGGTTTACTACTAGTTACTAGTTGATGTAGTACTTAAGGTTCCTCAGGGCTAATGACTGGGCAGGACATACGGTATTATTCCAGGCCAATCATTGCTCAGTCATCTCTTTCAAGGAAGATTCTAACCAATAAGAAGAAGTCTAAGGTTCTGAGCTAAAAGCTGAGTGCCCCATATATGCCTGGGTGATGCTGAAGCAGGTTACGCTTTTTGAGAAGAAGGCTCCAGGTGGTAAGTTAAACATTTCTAAGCAGGGTAAAAACTACACTTAATATTATGTCATAAAGGAGATTCTGAAGTGTGGAGTAAGAGTGAGGTTATCAAGGACTATAAAGAGAAGTGGGATATTCCATAAAAACTGAAGATATAACAGATTCACTTGGGATTTCCCTAGGAAAGTTTATTTGGGAGTTGAAGTTGAAATTTTTTTAATTAAAATAAATAGTTTTAGTAATTTCATAAGAGAGGCAAGGTTTTTTTTATTCATTTATCTTCCTAGAACATTCTTTGAAAAGACAAATTTTAAGGTATAAATAAAAAGATATTATTCTAATAAAAGGATGCTCTATGATGCGGTTATACCATGGATTTTGAAAATGATTATGTTGTCTGTTTATCTGAAAGTCAAATATAAATTTCTCAGTGAAGATTGAGATTATTTCATTAAAGCGAATCAGTGGAGCATGGTTATTCAACCTAAATATTGCATATGGTTTTACTGAAGACTGTGATTTATATCCTTTCCCTGAACACTCATATGTTATTTTAAAGATTTTATAATAGGATTTGTAAAACAGACAAATTTATGAGCAAATCAAACATTTTGAAGGCTAGTGAAAGATCTGGTAATTTAGAGAGACATCGTCTTGACAATATGTTTTTATAAACTAACAAGGATATATTTTTGGAAGATTAAATATTTTAATATTATACTTATCATGTAATGTATATAGGTATCAATCATGAAACATTTTGCAGTTTCAATGTTCAGAACAGAGTTTTAAGCTAAGGATATTCTCATCAGTTTTTACTGTACTAAATCAGTAGTTATATCTTTTCTAATATCATATTAAATCCAACTGCACAGAGTCTAAGCAAATACTACAAACCCAGGTAACATTGTAATGACTCCATTGGAAATTCTGTTTGCTGAAACAGGTCCTCAGTTATTTATTATGAAATTTAATTGTTCAGGTGATCAGGGTTCCTGGACAGGTGATTTTTAATGAAATGAATTTTTAAATTGTATGTCTTCTGAAAGAACAGTTTCTTCACTCCCTCATTGCTATTTAAATAAATACCTTTGAACACTTTTAATTTTCTTTTTCAATAACAGCTTTGAAGAATAATGTGAAGATTGTATAGGAGACAATACATCGAGAATCTACTTACTGCGTGCTTACAGAACAAAAGCCAGGAGCTCCCTAATGTAAACACACTAGTGTTTATTTTGAGGAGGAAATATATACATTTAAAAAAAAAAAACCAGCCACCACCATAAAGTAAATACCTGAGTCCAAAACAAGAATCTAGTTGGAAGATGTCACTAAACAATTCTTCCAGCGTGTTTCTGGACTCAGTACCCAGTAATACCAATCGCTTTCAAGTTAATGTCATAAACGAGAGCCACGAGAGCAGCGCTGCGGCGGACAGCACCGACCCTCCACATTATGAGGAGACCTCTTTCGGGGAGGAAGCCCAGAACAGATGCAGAATCAGCTTTAGGCCTGGGAAACAGGAGTGCTATGACAATTTCCTCCAAAATGGAGAGACTGCTAAAACAGATGCTAGTTTTCATGCTTATGATTCTCACACAAACACATACTACCTACAAACCTTTGGCCACAACACTGTGGATGCTGTTCCCAAGATCGAGTACTATCGCAACACAGGCAGCGTCAGTGGGCCCAAGGTCAACAGACCCAGCCTGCTTGAGATTCACGAGCAACTTGCAAAGGTAAGCTTAAGGGCACAAGCAGGGAACCTCTCTCCTTCCTTCAGGTGATTTCCTGTTCTTTAGCAACATTAGGAATATAAAAGCGTCCAATGAAGAGGTCTATTTCAAACCATCCATCTTACTTACATGCTGTCCCTAGTTTCCAATAAACAGAAAATACACAAAAGTGTTTCACAAATGTTTACTGAGGACCAAGAACTAGAGAATTGACTCTGAAAGTCAGGCAATATGTCCTAGCTTCTTTGCAATTGTAGTCTACTGGATTTACACTTGGTTAAACATGTCAAACAGAATACTAAACTGATTTCACCTTAGGATTAATACCTCTACAACAGCTGTAAAAAAAAAAAAAGAGAAAGAGAGAGAGAGATCGTGGTGCTTGCTGTAGTTAAAGCTGTGGTGCCAGCCTTTAGTTCACATGGGTATTTTTCACATTCTTTAAAGAGACAACAGAGATTTATAAGACTCAGAATTTTATCCCTTCCTCTTCAAAGCTTTGCCTGAGGCTCCCAAGTGCACTTAAGCATGTAAAAGTAACTAAATTAAAGCATAGAAGCAGCAGATGTGCCTAAACTTCTTATTATTTAAGAAATATAGTTAAGGTTCCCAAATTTGCCAAAAAACATGACACAGCACTTTTTCTTATCTGGTAGCAAATCATTTGTAAGCTTTGTAGATTTTTTTCTTCCACATCTTGCTCTAAAATACCCTGATGCACTTTATCTTCTTGTTCTTCTGGAACACAGTTGGGAACAAATATCATTCTTTATGAAAATAATTACTTGCTAAGTAGAATAATTAGCTGTCACATACCCAAATATAGTTTACTCTTGCCCAAGTTTTGAGATAAGGAAAAAAATTGATTGGAACAATCTCTTTCAAATTCATGCATTCATTCAACAATTTTTAAGTTAAATGATTATCCACTCTGGGGATTCTAGGAATACCGATCTCATGAAAGATGCTATAAAGGTGCAAATCTCCTTTTAGCTTCTGCTCATCCTTCTTTTCACAAAGAAACCCATTTCCAAAACTTGTTCCCCTTGGCTGTTTAGGGTTCCCGACTCTGGGGTCCACCATCACAGACTGAGCAACAGGAGGAGCCAGTGCTCTGGACTCCGTGCTGCATCCCCTCCCCACCAAACCCGGCTGTTCTGTGCGCTGTATCGGCAACACTCGGCTGCACGGCTGGCTTCTTTATAGTCATAAGATTTAGACTTTATCTGGGATGTTTGATACTATAATCAAAAGAAGTTAGCAATGTGACAATGCTGGACCAAATGACAGCCCCCATGAAGATTTTTGAGAAGGGAGGCAATTTGAAGCTCCTGAAATCAGACTGAGGTGTCACTTTCATTTTTTATTTGAGGGAAAAGGTAAGGAGAAAAGAAAAAAGAGAGAGGAAAGAGGGAAAAGAAGGCCGAGAGAAGAGGGTACAAAGAGTTTCCAAGATGTGGGAGGGGCAGAAAGAGATTATAAGAGATTTCAATTTATTCTGAAAAGTAAAAAAAGTCCTCTTCAAAAAGACCTGAAATTCTATTCCACCATACTGTATATCAGTACACATTTTTAAAGCTGCATCCTTCATAAAATTGTGATTAAAATGTAAATATTCTTATTCACCCCCTTCCCCAACTTACAACCAAAGAAAATAAAATTTTAACTCCATTAATAGGGAAATGGAATAAACTTACCTTCTTCTTGGGACTGATATCCTGGAGAGAGAGGAGTAGCTTATTTACAGTTTCTAAAGCCATAACATGTAAATCTTTATATATGGTGGGGGGACTCTGAGGGAACATTGCTAAAAGCTATCTGATTCAGTAGGAATGCAATAGCTACACTTGACAGATGTGGTAGCTGTTTGGGATTCAGATTCTTTTTAAAAGATAAAATGAGACTGAGCACTGAACTTTGACTTTTAGCATTTGTCTTCCTCAGATACAAAGACATAGCAAATTAAATAAATTAAAAATTAGGTTTATGTCCTATGCCCTGAAAAATCATTCTGAATTAGTATAGTAATAAGTTACTTTTTATGAACTTGACCCTTAGTATCCAGGGTACTTCATTTTGATTAAATCACACAGAAGTATCCACCTAGCCAATTTGGGAGCAGAATTCAAATACACCCACAGAATCTACAATGGGCACATTCCTATAGCCAGGATCCTTTTAGTACCACTAAAGTTGTAGGGACAAGTCTTTCTCTTCATTTTCTACCCTGTGATATCCTTTGATTGCAGACATTAACAGTCATACATTCTTTGACTCAACTCTTTCTTCCTTGACAGTGAATTTGCTAGTACTATTTCCCCTGCTTTTCCCTGCTTACACCCCCAAATAAAAGATGAAGACCTGCCATGTAATGTAACTATACTGCCACCTCCTTGTAGACTTTGACATTTTTATGTCAAATCACAAGTAGAGCAAACATTATATGGTAATATTAAGATATGTCACAGATTTTGTATGCATAAAAATTGTAAATGATAGTGTTTACTTAATTTTAAAGTAGAAAGTAGTTGACATATTACAAGTTTGGTGATTTTTTCTGTATCCATGATTATATTGCTTTAAAAAGCCACATAAAAATAGTACATTTATATTAAATGGCAGAACATATTTAGTAAGGAGCCACTTGTATTTTGTGCCGACTGTGTTTATAATTTTCAAGTTAGAAAAATTACATGACAAATTTGTCCTAATATATAAAATAGAAATTAAGTTTTGAAAGACATTAAGTCTCTATCTTAAGTGAAACTCTAGCAGTGATAGATATTGACAGAATTTGTAATCTTAATGATTTGAGATCATATTTGAAGAAATCCTTTTCATTTTCTATGTAGTAAAGAGTTAAATGCCTATATTGGTGACTATGAATTAAGGATTTCTGAAAACTCTAATTAAAAGCAGAGAAAAAATATTTCATCCCTTACTTGCTCTACAGTTATACAAGCTACATAACTTCAAATGACCTTTGCAAAATGCTTGTGAATACTAATGTTTATATGAATATAAAGCCTAGTAATTTGCCTCCAGTGGATAGAAACTCAATAATGTTTGTTGGTAATGATTATGATATTTTTCATACTAGCTAATTTTTATTTTAAAATGTTATTTAAAAAGTTAAATATACACTGATCCAATATTTAACAAGTACTAAAATATATGTAATGAAATATCTCTTAAATAATGTAAATTATTGGTTATTCTCTTCAAGGGACTTATTACTGAGGGTTTCTTATAAAACTCTCCTGAAATTTTCTACGCTTATATGTACATATATAAATTGCACTTTGTCCTACACTCTGCTGTTTTCACTAAACAGTATACTGTGGAGATCTTTCCATATCCAAACATGTATAATGATTATTATATATCTAGCAAAGATTAATCTAGTATTTTTACTGTGTAAAACTAATCCCTTTTTTAGTATCCAGCCTAATTCTTATAGCTGCCTTTCCAACTCCTTTTCAGCCTTACTACCAACCATTGCTGTTAGCATTTCAGAAAAAATATAATTACAAGGGAATCAGGAAAATATATAGCCTTTCTATCAAAGTCAGTGTTCTGATGTCATTGACATAAATTATCTATGAAAAGTGTGAAATATTACAAAAATTAAAATGGAAATATGCTTAGGAAGCCAACTGTTTTAAAATTGACTCAAAACAAAAACAGCAGAATGACTTCACATTTGGGTCATTAGGTTGTTAACAACTAAAGAAATTTATGAATAAAAGCATTAAGTATAATTCTGATATACATAATAAACATTTTATGTATCAGGCGCGATGCTCACACCTAACAAAATCTCATTCAATCCTTATAATAACTTTTCAAGTTAGGTCCTACTATTATTTTTATTTTATAGATGGTGAAAGTTTTATAAAATCCTGTGGACCGTAGAAGAGACAACAATCATTTAGAGAACTCACACTTCCAAGGTCAAGAAGCAAAGGTCATGTGGCTAATAAGTTGAACCCATGCATACCTCACTCCGGAGTCCATGCCCTTTATAACCTTATTTTGTCCTCAGCCTACTCTCCCATAGTTCTTTGCCTCAGCTCATTCCATGGTGACAGAAAGTGGTGGAGCCCAGACACAAAGGAGAAATTGCACCTCAGTCTTGATGGGTTCAGCAGGAGATCCCCATTCCTTATTTTGGGACTGTTTCAAGAGATTATGGTGCTTTCCCTGCAGAATTAATTGTAGGTCTCAATTTTCATTATCATTATCAAAGCATTTATTAGCCACTTATTTACAAGAGCTGCTGTATAAAGTGTTAAAGAGGTTTGACCTCTACTCTCTAAAATTTTATTTTATAAGTCAAATGGCATTGCTATGGGTAGAAATAAAGGATATGTAGTTAACAAGGATTAAACTATGTAAGTATGTAGAAATGCTTATCTTCTAAAAAAGGACAAACAAAATATACAAATGTTTTCTCTAGAAAGTAATTTTTTCTAAAGTGTTTCAAAGTTCAAATTGGGAACTTTTTAGCATTCAAATTGGGGATAATAGAAATATTACTGAGACAAATAAAATAGACATTAAAATTGAGACAATAAATTCCTTGAAGGCCAGTGATGACCAGAAGCTACCCTTAAAACATTTATAGGAGTAAAATTCTGCAACTAAGGCCTCATTCTCACACCTGTTAGAGTTTTTAGGACCCAAGGCCACACTTGAGAGCTCTCGCTATTAAAAATGCTCTGTGAAAACAAACAAGAAATATTAATTTCCCTTTATAAATAGTTTTGTGATAGATGGTGAGTAGAGTGGGAGTTCCTTTAAAGTACACTTGGAAAATGTTAAGAATCATTTAATCTCATTTTCTTATTGTGGTTTATCATGGTTATCACATATAGTTACATTTTGGCCCAAGTTATCAAAAATATGTCAATTTGCATGTGAGCCATGTGTTTTCAGATATAGTAAAAATGTTGTGATTATAAATTATACCATTGGTTTATAATAACTTTTAAAACAAGAAA